TGTCCCTGGGATGACCTAACCAGGCTGCCAGTCACCCAGAAACAGGGTGTCTCAGAAAAGTTTAGAGGGGGTGTAGGGGCTCTTTTAGGTTCTAAATGAAGTTTTACCATGTGTATTCTGGGGTGTTCGGGGAGCTTTAAAGAGCCAGGTGGTCAATGGCTTGCTCCCTTGCCCTCTGACCTTCAAGAAGCCTGATGGAGCTGCCCAGGAGCTTGACCAGGGCTGTGGTCACAGAGCAAAGTGGGTCCTGGTGAGCACCCCAAAGGTGTGTCATTTTCTCGAGTACTGAAAAAGCTTTCTGGGAGACAGTTTGTATGCAGAGTCAAAAAGAATCTTCGTGGTGTTACCACTATGCCAATTATTTTGATTTTCATCACTGCTGAGCCTGGATTGAGAACTGTGCAGTCCCGGGAGCCTCAAGAAGAGTGAGTGAGGCAGCTTCTTAGAAAGAATGGCAGGTGAGAAACAGACTTCGAGGGGTAGGGGGCTTGCAGGCGGTTTGCAGCGCCCTGGCATTGGAGATGCAGCAGAAACTGGGGAGGTGGGGGTGGAAGGACCAGGAAAAATTGAGTCAGTTTCAGTTACTCAGAGCTGATAGGAGGCTGTAGATTCAAAGGAGTGGGTCCCAGACTCTCTGGCTCAGGGGGGTGGGGGCGGGGGCTATGGAATGTCTACTGACCGGAGCCCAGGCAGGGGCAGGAGGCAGATGCCCAGAAGAGCACCCATGCAAGGAGACACCACAGCCAGCTGCCATCCCACCCTCTCCTTAGCAGTGGCTTTCCCTCCTAGTGTTCTGAGGCTCATTCAGTGATGCATTGAAAGTCCTTACTTTGTGCTTAATTCTCCCAACCCAGGGAGGAAAGTGACCATTTTTGCTCCAAGTGAGAGGAGGCATTGGCACAGTAAAGACCAGTCATCTTCCTGCCTGTGATGTCAATGCATTAGTCATTTCTACATGGTGGGGGAGGGGCTGGGCCAGGGGAGATGGGATAGCTGTTCTGACCTTCTCTCCATTCCTTTCTCCCCATTTTCATTCTAACTCATCTCTCATCCTTCTCCCTAGATAACTCCTAGACCTTGGGAATCAAGAGTTCTTTTTATCTCTGTCTTCCAGATTGCATTCTTTGGGGACCCAACCTACCCAATCACCGGGCTGATGACCGCCATTGTTCGTAAAAATCCCCAGGAGTAGCAGTCTAGCTCCCAGTGTGGGCAGGAGATGAGGGTGTCTAGAGCTGCAGTTCCTAGGAAGAAACCTTTGTCTACTACCAACATCCTAGAAATCTTTTAGGCGGCCTGAGATCACACAGTGAGCAGCAGTGGCATGGCGAGTTGTGGTTCTCTTTAAGGTTGCTTATGGATTCCCTCTCCTGGGCACCTGGAAATGGAGCCTCCTCCTTTGTCATTGGGTGGGGCCATATGACTCCTTCTAATCAATGAGCAGCTAGATGTGACTTCCCCACTGGGGCATTGGATTGCCCGTGCGAACTTGCTCCCTCACGGACAACAGTAGCAACATTATTGAGTCACCTTCAACCTGAGTCCATGAGTGACTTCCAAGGGCAGAACCCCTGCCCACTTTGGCCAAGTGGGCATGAGCCAGGACCAACTTTTCTTGTGTTAAATCACAGAGATGTTGGGGCTGCTAATCACTGCGGCACAACCCACGGTGTCCAGGCTGATACTAGGATCTGAGAGGAAAAGAATTAGATCTTCCTCTTTCAACTTGAGTGTCTCAGAGGTGTGATAATTAAGCAAGAATTGGCATTAGGGGGCATTTCCCATCTTACCACTAATTGTGGCTGTTACAGAACTATCCAAATGGAAGAGAGAAAAATAGAAATGTATGATTTGTGTAAAAGAAATATGGATAATAATCATGAATGTGATTGGCTCCATGACCACATGACTAGAACAGTTCTGCATCACAGGTTGGGTTCTCAAATAGGCTGTGAGTCAAGGATCAGGGTACAGGAGGTTTATTTTATTAGGGAGTGCTTTTGGATTAATGCCGGTGGAAGGGATGGGGTGGAAAGAGGCAGGAATGGGCAGATGTGAAATCTCCGTGGTCTCAATGGAAACCTCAGCCGCCCCTGTGAGTTATCCCGAGGATGGGATGCTTTTGAAGCAAGAGGGTTGGGTCTTTATATCTCCATGTTGCCTGGTCACGGAATGTGGGGACCCGGGTAGATTCTAGGTGGCTCTCTTCTTCAGCTGGGGCAAACTCTAGAGGAGGTTAAGGTGTTCAGATCTGGGGCCTTGTGGAGCTCCCTTGATGAATGTACACAACCCAGCCTATGAGGCTGGATTTTGGAGATGGGAACACATCCTCTTCGAGGGAGAAGCAAGAATAAGCGAGAATAACAATTTATCATGTCACTAACATTCAAGCTTTAAAAAAAAAAAAAACAACTCACGGGAGTTTTTAAGAAAGGACTGGAAGCTGGGGGTTCCACCACCCGTGCAGTGCTACAGTGGCGTCTACAGCACCCACAGCTTCCTTTTCCATCAAAAAACTATGGATGGACCATTCGTAAACTATGTACTTACATCCAGAGTGACATAATGCTATGATTCTAGTAAAATGACCAAGGTTAGCAGTTACTGATTTTCTCCTCCTAGCGACAGGTTGGAAGAGAGCAGTTCACAGCCCACCCTGCTTTGGGACAAAAGATTCACAGTGACTTGCTAGGCCAGTGGACTTGCACATTGAATTTCTTCATTATGGGTCCCAGGAGTAGAAGAAACCACCACCGTCACCTACTCCTCTCTCTGAGGCTAGCCTCTGCCAGAGACACCCAAGGACCCCAAAGGGACAGGGGGGCAGAAGAAGTTGCAAAGCAGTGAGTCTCTCCTTGAGATGGAGTCTTGTGAAAAACGGGTCCTCTTTCTTTGATGTAATAGAAACATCTCAGATGAAAGGACCCTACATAATTTAAAGGTTCCTTTCCACCAGAACCCCTTGGAGAACTTGTAAAATACAGATTGTTGGGCTCCGTCCCAAACTTTCTGAGTCAGTAGGTCAGGATGGGACCTCAGTTCAGCATCTATAATAAGTTCTCAGGTGATGGCGGTCCACATACCCAACTTTGCAATCAATAGCTCTAGAACACTGTCAAGCATATACTCAAAAGTAGGGAGGAGATGGAACAAAGGAAAGTAGCTTTAAAAGTGGCTTTTATATGGCTACCTCAAGGACTTTTCAAGTATTCTTCTGAAAATCAGAAGAATCTGAAACTACTGCCCAGCACACTATACCGTGGAGACCAGGAGTGAAGACTGCCTTGCAGCCCTTGACTGTTTAGTCCCCAAGACCTTGATATATCTCAGGTTATATGGGCAGATTTGAAATGTGTTCATATGCCGAAGCTTACACATATGAATAGGAAATCTCCATGCCTTTTAGAATGAGTCAGAGCCCTCCAAGGAACTATTGATTGTGCTATTTTGGCACTGTACTGGGTGTTGTGTGGAGCTTGAAGGCAGTGGGCAAAGACATGATGTAGAGCCATGCATGCCAGCCAAGTGTCAGCGAGCTGAGGGGTGGGTGCTGGAGGCAGGGTTGCAAAAGGCAAAACAAATGCCACCAGGGCAAGTAAAGGGCTTCCAGCCCCTCCCTCTCCCAGAAAGGCAAAGGAGACAGAAATTAGCCTCTCTCTTTTTGGAGATTCACTCGTGCACATTTTAAGGGGACCATCTTCTAATTCTTGTATTCCTACATCAAAGAAAACACTACTTACACAAATCTGGAGGAAAATGTCTGTATTAAAAGCCAAAAAACCACAGAAGTACAAGAATTAACGCCCGCCAGGTCACGCCACTGGATAGATCGACTTGGAAAAGTTTCATGAAGTTCGTTCTCAGCGGTATCAAGATATCGGTGCTAAGTCCTCCCCAGGCCCACCCCCACCCGGCCTCTTAAATAAATTAAAAAAGCAACAAACTTCAAATACAACTATGTTCGGATACAAAGAGCTTCTCTTACTACAGCAATAGCAATTAGAATTTTTTTTTTTTTACTAAAACTCTCATTTAAAACAGTTCTTAAATATATAAAACAAATACACAGGATTTGGTCATTTTCTGCCATGAGTACAGGGCACGTGGGTGCGGGAGGGAGGCGGGCAACGGGATGCAGCGGAGGGGACGGGGCTCCCTTTCCCTGCTGTCTTCTGACACGCAGCCCCCACCTCCGGCCAGGGCTCCCCACTGCTTTTGGGGGCGGGAAGCGCCGCTGGGACCTTGCTTTTCAGTCACGCTGGGGCTCCGCGGGCGGCCCCTCCCCGGAAGTAGAAGTAACGGTCACTCCGCACGAAGCGCGCGGGCTGCCTCCGCAGGGAAGGCGCGAGAGCGCGGGCGCGGGGCGCACGCGGGCAGGAGCGGGAGGGCGTGGGGAGAGGGGAGGACTTGGGGAGGACTTGGAGCTCACGCGGGGAGGGGCCAGGAGGGGTGGGGAGGAGAGGGGAGGACGCGGGGAGGACGCGGGGAGGAGCGGGGAGGACGTGGGGCGAGGGGAGGACTTGGGGAGGACTTGGAGCTCACGCGGGGAGGGGCGGGGAGGACGAGGCGCTCGCTGGCAGGGGTGGGGAGGAGCAGGCGCACGCGGGGCGCACGCGGGGCGGAGGCGGGGAGGGGCGAGGCGGAGTGGGGAGGATAGGGGAGCACTTGGGCGCACGAGGGGAGGAGCGGGGAGGATGTGGGGCGAGGGGAGGACTTGGGGAGGACGGACGCACGCGGGGAGGGGCGGGGAGGACGAGGCGCTCGCTGGCAGGGGTGGGGAGGAGCAGGCGCACGCGGGGCGGAGGCGGGAGGAGAGGGGAGCACTTGGGCGCACGCGGGGGAGGGGCGGGGAGGACGTGGGGAGGACGAACGCGCGCGGGGGAGGGGCGGGGGGACCGGGCGCCCGCGAGCAGGGGCGGGCGGGGCGCGCGGGCGCTCGCGGGCGGGCGGGCGGGCGGGCGGGCGGGGGGGAGGCGCGGGGCGCGCGCGGGCGGGCCGGGTCACTTGGCCGCCGCCCCCGAGGTGACGGCCGCGGCGGCGGCTGCGGCGGCGGCTGCGGCCGCGGCTGCGGCGGTGGTGCCCGCGGGCACGGCGGCGGGCGCGTTGGCGGCGGCGCTGCCGGTGGTCCGGCGCTGCTCCATGCCGTTGGGCAGGAAGCCCGCGATGATGGGCACCGGCCAGATGAGGGCGGCCACGCTCCACACGACGATGACCAGGGTCATGAAGCAGGCCACCAGCGTGGACTCGATGGGCTTGCGGTTCAGCCGCCAGCCCGGCTCTCCCTGCAGCTCCTCCAGGCTGAAGTCCAGGCAGCAGAAGTGCAGCGGCTCGCCCTGCAGCCACAGCGGCCCGGGCGGCTCGGCCCCGGGGTAGGCGGGCAGCGCGGTGGGCGCCCCGTTGGCGGCGGCGGCGGGCCGGAGGCGCCCGGGGCGGCGGCCGCGCACCCAGCCGCAGCCCACGCAGAGGCGCAGGTCCTGCTGCGCGCCGCCCGCCGCCAGCCCCAGGTGCTCGATGAGCAGCGGCGGCCCGACGCGGTGGAAGGCGGCGGCGAAGAAGGCGCGGCCGTGCGCGTTGGTGGAGAAGAGCAGCAGGTCGCACTGGAAGCCCCGCGGGCGCCCCAGCGCACGAGCAGCGAGCTCAGCATCTGCCGCTGCACGCTGATGTTGCACGGCGCGGCCGCCTCCTCCGGGCCCGGGCGCTCGGGGCTCCCCGGCGCCGCCGAGGCCAGCAGCCGCGGGGCGGCGGGCTCGCCCGCGGACGACGCGTTGGCGGAGGCGTTGGGAGGCACCCCGAGGAGGTCCGGCGCGTCCGCGGCCCCGCCGCGGGCCGGCGGCAGCGGGCAGGCGGCGGCCAGCAGCGCGGCGAGCAGGGGCAGCATGGCCTGCGGCGGGCGCCTACGCGCGCGGGGCCGGCGGCGGCTGCATGGCGCGCGGGAGACGGGCCGGGCGCGGACGGCTGGGCGCGGGAGCCGGTGGCCGGGCGAGGGAGAGCACCTGTCAGCTCGCGGGGGCGGCGCGGAGGCGGCGGTGCTGGCTGGCGGCTCGCGGAAAGTGGGGCTCCCTCCCGGCCCGGCCGCGTCTGGGGTTCCCCGCCGCCCCCGGCGCGGGGGCCCTCGGACCGCCGGGCTGCTCTGTGGGGCCCGGCGCTCGCCTGGAGCAGGAATCCCCGGCTGGGCTCCGCCTCCCGCGCGCCCCGCCCCGCCCCGCCCCGCGTCCGCCTGGCGGGGAGACTCGGGGTGGGCGGGGTTCCCCGCGCCGGGGCGGGGAGCGCGCGGCACGGCCCCCGGCGACCTGGCGGGGTGAGGCGCCGCGTGCAGGGGCGGGGCTTTGGGAGCCCGCGGGTGGGCCCGACGGCGGCGGGGTGGGGGCCGTCGGATAGTGGGGGCCGGGTGTTGACCCGTCCGGCAAAGCCTTCGGATGCGCCCCGGCGGCCCAACGCCCCCGCCCGAAGCCGACTCCAAGCCCACAAGGCGCCCCGGGAGGATTGCAGCCTCCGAGCGAGGCTCCGGCGCCGCCGGGAGACCAGCCTTTGTCATGTCTGCGGGGGTGGGGTGGGGTGGGGGGTGGGGGGGGCTGCGATGTCTCTCTTTAGTGTTCAGATGGATCCCGCCTGCTTTACGGAAGGGGAAACTGAGGCCCAGAGCAGGGCAGGACTTTCCCAGGCCACACCGCGAGTCCGAAGCAGAAGTTCAGGTCGCGGACTCCCCTCCTCTCCACGCTGACATGTGGAGCATCTGGCTGGGCCTCAACACCAGCACACTGTGTTGGGTCTCCACACGAAGGCCCACCTGGTATTTTCACAGCAAGCAGACTGAGGAAATACCAAGAACTTACCGTTAGAGGAGAGAGAGGCTGGCAGAAAGGTGAGCCCCAAGTCTTTGCTGCTCGGATGGCACGTTTCACTCCCAGGACACCACTCCTCTGGCAGGGCCACTGCCCGGGATGTTGAATGAGCACATCTTGGCGAAAGATTTGTCTGTGGAGTTGGTGTTGAGGGGCCATTCACCCGCGTTAGAGTATTCAGTGGGGGGGAGCCCTGCAAGGGTCACGTGTGGGCATCACACTTAAAAAAGCTTTCCTTGTAATTTGACCTGTTAGGCTTGGGGGGAAAAGCCTCTTGATCCCACTCTGTGGGTATGAACCCCGGATTTGAAGTGTGCCCTTGAGCTCCAGCTATTCTTGAGGCTGAGAGGGAAGAGGTGTGGGGAACAGAAACAGACCCCTCACCAAAGGCCCTCCTCCGAAGCAGCTGAGTTTCCTGAGCAGACTCTGATCAGATTCCTGAGTAGATTCCTGAGCAGATCATGATCCTGCTAGGATCATGCCTGAGAACATTTCTAGAAGCTTTTGTCCATTGTGCCAACAATGAGTAAAACCAAGTTGAGGAAGATGTTTAAAACAGCCTCAAAATACTGGTCTGAAACCTTCATGGCCTCTTTCCATCTAGACAAGTCATTTTTCTGATTTGGCCTTGGTTTACCCCCCTGGACAGTGGGGTCATCATGCCTGCCTGGCAGGGGTGCGGTGACAATGCAGTCAACCCTGTGTCTGTCCGTCTGTCCACAGAGGTGCTGGTGTGGTGGCCGCTGTGATGTATTTACTCTCAGTCCAGCCAAGCCAGCTGTCTAGAATAGTCCTTGGTTTCCACAGACATGGTTACTTCCCGAAGGGGAGGGGATGCCCCATTCTTTAGCCCTTCGTTGCTTTTACACTGGGAAGTGGTGCTACCAGGGAAGACAGTGGGGATTTTTGTGCTTTTATTAAAAATTACATTTTCCTTGTGGCCTTGCCTATCAGGAACACAATCTGTAGTTGGATGTGGTGGAGCTGATTTAGTCTGAGCTGTGTGGCTGGCAAGCCATCCGAGAATAGAGTGAGAGGGGGCCCAGTCTTCAAGGGGTGCATAGCCAGGCTACTGTCTGCCTTGGCAGGGGAACACCGAGTGCGATTTCAGCACGTGCTGGGGGCGTCCTTGCTTTGTCTGTGCAGCAGGAAAGGCAGCAGCAGAGGGGGACGGCAGTGCCCTTCTTGGGGAGCCAAGCAGTTCAATACAAACTTGTGCCTCTATAACCTGTGTCCCCCAAATCTGCATTCTCCCCACTTTCCCAGCACATGCCGCAGACGCCAACACCCCACCCTCTCCCAGAGTGACAATTACACAGTCCCTGGGTTTCTGCATTAATTTGCTGTCATTTCAGACAATTGGAATTTGGGAAGAGGAGATTAAAAAAATAGGTTATTTCCTGTCTTCTTTCCTGCTGTGTCCACCCGCCACAGGTGAAGTACCTGGCCCGGGCCGCAGCTCAGTAACATCAGTGATTGAACAAATTTGCCTATTTGCTAAAAGCTCCAACTAACCACCATTTATTTAGTACTTTCCATGTGCCAGGTGTGTTACACACATCATACTGACTCTTCACAACAGTCCCAGGGGTGTGATACCTACTTCATGATGAGAAAACTGAGGCGCAGACAGGTGAGGTCCTGCCTGCCGTCCCTCAGCAGGTATTATGACTGAGGAGACAGCTACACCCCTTCTACAGCAAGACTCACGCGGTCCTGCCAGCCACTGGGTGGGAAAATGCCCACCTGGCACTGCGCTGCCCGGGGCTGACTGAGGAGTCAGGTCCCACGAGGGGCTCCTCCAGGTGGGGCAGAGTTTGGCGGGAAAGACTAAATTGATCTCACCGTTGCGGGGGCCCAGCGGCACTGAGACACGTGAGCTGAGGAAAGCTGCATTGCTGGGGCGGGCAGCCCAGGCGAACCCTGACTTTGCTTCTATTGAATTTCAGAAAAAAGACAAAAAAGATGACTTTCACTTCTCTAAATCCTGTAATTTTTATAAAATAAATAGAAGACTTTGATAAATCTCTGTTTTGTCCATAAAATACAGATGACAAATTTGTCTACATGGACTCATTGTTCGAAAACAATAATGGAGGACTTCAAAGAAAAATAATTAGTGATGAGGCACAGTAATTTCATTCTCTTCATTTCCTACCAGGGCCTGGTGTTAGCTAATTTTTCCTTATTCTGTCTATTGAAGTAATACTTAACAAAAAGATCTCTCCGGGTTATTTGAATTCCTTTCATCCAAGACCTCAGAGTGCTGCAGGTACAGTAATTTGTTAGTCCTCTCTGATTATGTGGGTGGAATTAAGATATTATTACCATACATTGTAGACTGAAAAATAAGCAAGAACCACAAAAGAATCGTAAAAATAGAAGACAGACAAGGGCAGCCAGAAGTCAGCGGAGCAACTGTCTCAGAGCGGCTGGGAGAGGCTGCATTTGTCTTGGTGGGCGTGTTGGGGCTGGGGTACTAGGAATGGGGGGGCGAGGGCTTGTCATGTCTGCTTCCTGAAAAGTCCCATTCCTCAGCTGGGAAACTCAAGGACTGGTCACAGATGCTGCTGAAGAGCTGGGCCTCTGTAGCAGTCACTGTGTGTGGGGGGGGGTCTCAAAAGGCCCCCCACCTTGATTAGATCCTGCTGGTTCAGTGCCTTTGGTTCCACACAGTTCTGTGATCTCTAAGAGCGCCTGAGCCACATCTCCAGGGTATGCACATCTATCCTTCCTGACCACGGTGGTCACAGGGGGGACTCGCCTGCTCACAATTCTGGCAGCAGTTATAGCCAGTACGACTCATTTGGCAATTAAACACGGGCTGCCTGGGGCCAAGGGGGCTGTTGCCAGCTCAAGCTGTTACTTGGACTTTATTCTGTCTGGAGCCTCATCAGTGTTTCTGGTAAGATTTCAGCAAAGCCTTTTTGAGGAAATAAGAAGCCTGGCCTTATGGCAAGAGGGGAGTAGCTAAGGGAGAACTAGAGAAGGAAAATGGTGCTTGTGTGGTACCTGGGTGAGCACCTCTTTCTGGGCTCGGCTGGTGTTGGCACCTTCACAAGATGATCATTGTCCCTTAACCAACACTGTGTGCCAGGCATGGTGTCAGCACCTGAAATATTTCTTCACCACAGTCCCCTGAGGAAGAGATGACAATGGCCGTCTTCCAGAGGAGGTAAACCAAGGCTCAGAAGGATTAAATCATTTGTACGAGTCACACAGTGGTGGAGCCAACCAAGATTTAAAGCTTGTCTGAGAAGCTTGTTCTTAAATCAAAACCCTGCTCCATGGGCCCTGCTGTCACCAACAATCTCACAAGCTGGAGGGTATTGTCTTGGTTTACTCGTGAGGAAGCAAGTGCAGGATGCCTGGGCTGTGGCCAAATGCTGGTCTTCCCTAGCTCTTCAGTCTTCCAGCTCTATCTGCCCTGTGCTCGAGCCCAACGCATCAGTTCTGCCAGCACTGAAATTCTGGGTGATGCTTTCCCAGCTGATGAAGCCCTGGACATGCTCTCCCCACCCTCTCGCTCATTGCTTTGTCTCCCCGACTGCCCGGAGGCTGGTGTGGAGCAGGTTCTCCGGAAGCGCTGGTTGGAAACCTGGGATCCATCAGGGATGCTCAGCTGGGCAGACATCCAGCCTGGAGTTCCTCAGATACCTGGGAACCTGCGCATGTAATGCTGATGGATTTTAAATAATGTGCTTACAAATTGCTTGGAGAGGTATTCAAGGGGTATTGATGGAGCCACAGGGATGGGGACAGCAGAGGACTTTCTGTGAAGCAGCTACCCTTAACCCTTATTCCCAGGGTCATCAGTCAGATGGACCTAACTGGAACCAACTTAAATTTTTTTTTTTTTTGATAATATGGCAAGGAGCATTTCTATAACTTGGATGCCACTTAAGTGATGAGGGGTGGGGGATGTGGAAAGGACCACCCTTAAATCATGTGATATTTCGTGGTTCTCATCTCTTTAAAAAAGTTAAAATGTCACTTAACATTGTAAAGTCTGAGGGTTTCAATACAGCGACTCCTG